TTCTTTTTTTAAATTTATCTTAATTGTCATCTTATAAAGGTTAATGTTATAAACGCTTAACGTTAATATATAACATTAAATTGAAAAAGGAGAAAGGATTTAACGCGACGGCAAATTTTTGAAAGTTGTTAATGACAGTCTTCGACTGAAGGCGAGCGAAAGCTAAGCGTGGTTAACGGTGCCGAGTATCGAATGGTATCGAAGCGTCGTCGTCGCGTCGCGTCGCGTCGATTCCATCGGCAGTATCGGCACCACAGTCCACCGCACGGAACTACACGCCCAAGGCGCGTGCGACCTGCTCGTAAACGTACTCGTAATACTCATATGCGTACGTGGGACTCGTAAAGCGTACTCCGCCTGCGCGGAGGACTCGTAAAGTGTCGCGTGTACGTTCTCTCTGAGTCTCTGCGCGTTTCAGGTTTCCCGTTTCAGTTCGAGTTGCACTGCTGCACGGCGTGGTCGCAGCTAGTCACAACTCGTACTGCGCGACGCGCAACAACATATACGCGCGTTAAACTCGCCTCCGGCAATCGGCCGCGTTTGAGTCCTTTGAGAAGTGAAGAGTGCGTCTCCTTCTCTCTCTCTTTCTCTCTCTCTCTCTCTCTCTCTCTCTCTTTCTCGAATTAACTGCAAATTGAGAAGAACTGTAAAAGAAGAAGAGAAGAGAACGCAACCATTGACTCTCTCGCGCAACCATTGACTTCACTTTACGAACTTTGTTGTGTTCTTCGAGAGCGGACGCTCGGAGTCGCGGCAGTGTGTTCGAAGTGAAATCGAGTTTCCCTGGCGAAGCGATAGGAGTGACGGTACACGTGGTGGACGGAGCGCGTGTCAGGTGAATCAATGGACGGAGTTTTGTTATTCAGCGTATACCTTGAGGCCTATTTAGATACAACGAGTTTCAGCCGCGACGGAGTTCACAACTCGCGTGATGCAACTCCGTATTCATTCCCGTACAAAACAGCCGAGTAGAATCGATTTTCTCAAGTTACAGAATGCGTCGAAGGGCATAAATGTGCCGTATTAATAAAAATACTGCATTTTTTTTTCTTTTATAAGACAAAAGTCATATGATTAATTTAAAAGAGATTCTTCCTTAATCTAATGGATTTAAGTTAATGGTGTGAATCGAGATTAAAAAAGAATTTTATTCCCCATTTTCCTCTTATTTACATTCATGAAGCTTGAAGCTATTAACTAGAAATATATAAATTAACTGTAAATAACTATAATTAAGTCTTATTCTCCATCATGCGGTCACTGGTGCCCGAACAAAATTTTGCGCGTCGTATATGCTGGTATATGCTGGTAAAGTGCCAAAATTACATAGTTTTACTTATTGTCATTTGCTTTTTAATCGTATATTAGAAGATTGAAATTAAATAAAATTGCAATTGAAAACCTCTCGTCTCATTATACGTTGTAATCCTTTAGAATAGAATCGTAAAACGCAAATGCGCCTCACTCTATGATGGCGGGTGAGGAATAAAAAATGACGCGGGACAGTAAAGATTAACTATGCTATAAATACGAGTACATACTGTATATATATGCAGGGTTGGATAAGTTAACTTTTTTTTTAACTAAGTTAAGTTAAAGTTAATAACCTTGAAAATTTAACTTAGTTAAGATATAAGTTAATTTATAATGAAATTAATTGAATTAAAAGTTAAGTTAATAAAAAAAAGTAATTGAAAAGTTAAAAGTTAAATTTGTTTTTTTTTTATTTTCTTAATTCATGATTCCAGGGTTTCAGTCTTACAAATAACTAAAATAACGGAAATGATAAATATATACTTCATTTAGAAAATATTCTATATTTTATTTATATGTTTTGTTTATATATACTGTATAGTATACTGTATAGTAAGATATTACTGTTTATATTACTATATAGTAAGATTCGATTATAAATACTCTCTCTGGCTTATAATATGACTAAAGCTTCAGACACAATACGAGGTAGTAGCGATAGTAATAAAGAATAATAGATTTCAACCTATCAGAAACTAGATATATCGAAATACATGGTTTCTGACAGATTGAAATTTGGGGGTCGATCGTATAATTTGAAATGAGGTGAAAATTACAAAAGTGAACAAATTCACTAGAGTATTTATAATTTCATTGGTCAACACGTAATAAATTTGCTCACTTTTGCCATTTTCACCTCATTTTAAGTTATCGCTGTTGCCGCATACTATTATGTTTGAGACTTGACTTCAAAGAATTAAATAAAAAATTAATAGTTACGGATATATAAAATGTAACTAAATAAAGTTAAAAAGTTAAGAGTCTAAAATGTAACTAAGTTAAGTTAAAATAATTAACTTTTCAACTTTGTAACTTAACTTTTATCTTTTTAATTACTACACAATCTTGTGTATATGGAATGTTATTAATTATCTTTATTATACTTAATCGTTACAAACTACATGCTAATGTTTGTTTTTGTTATATGAATGTCATTACTAAGGAAATTATTAAGGAAACACTTTATATATAATTATTAATACTTGAGAGAGAGAGAGAGAGAGAGAGAGAGAGAGAGAGAGAGTTAATTTACTTAAATATCGACATCATTTAGTATAAAAAAAACCGCATAGTTTCAATTTAAAAATAATTTACGACGCATTTATCCAAGGAAAATTGACCTGGAATAGACGAAGAACACTGTGAAATATCTTATCGTTTGAATAATCCGTTCTACAGTCTTTTATTTGCGTCGTACACACTTCGATTTCAACCCTACGATTTACGTGCAACTTCCTTAGGGGCGATATCTATCGCGTTTCTCGTTTTAGGGTCGCTAAAACCGAGTAAGGGTGACACGCACAGGGAAGAAAAAATCGATTGTCATTAAATCGAACTGAAAATCCTTCAAACTGGGCGACGGAAAAGGAAAACATCGACGAGTGAGAATGGCGGATGAAGCCCAGGAAAACCAACAATCGGCTACTAAAAGACACAAGGTTCTAAGTCATCTACCCATCATCATCAAAGTGCTCGAATTGGCGAGTATCTTTTTAATTTAATCGAATAAAGAATAGCATGGATTACAATGTGCTTCGTATCCCGTTGTTGAAATTTTCTTATTGCGAAAATTGCAATCTTTAATAAGCTTTTCTTTAAAAAATTCTCATATTTCATAATATTTTTAAGAGTTTGTTATTATAGTTTAAATTTATGAAAATTTCTGAAAAAATATCTTAAAATTTTTCAGATTTTATGAATTTTCTTTGGAAATAATATTTTTAATGGTATAATGAAATTATACAATATTAAAGTATTATATTAGACCGCGATGTAAACACACACAGTTAAGAAATAAATTAGACTAAATGGTCAAGCTTGATCTTTAGTGTGGAAACAATTCTGTGTGAATTTATATATCACAAATCCAATCTTACACAAACTGCAATGCGCTAAATTTATTTTCAGTCTTGAAACGCAATCTTTAGAATCTTAACAGAACTAAAGTAGTCATATCACAAATTAAATTAGCAATTAATGTAATAATGATGCTTACAGACATTTTTATAATAATTTTAAGCACCTTAAAATCTGTAGTTTTATTGCGAAAAATATTACTTTGGCCGTGGATCGAAGCCTCTTGCGTTTCAAGGGCCTTATTTCGAAGATAAGTTCGGTGCGTAGTTTGCAGGATTGGATTTAGGTATATAAATTTACACGGAATTATTTCAGAAAGCTTAACCGTTTAGCCTTTATTTCTTAACTATTAATGTTACTTATACACGTGGCATTTAAAATGCGCTTTAATTTTGTTGAGAAGTGTATAATGACGTATTTTTCGATGTCTAAATATATAATAACGTATTATTATGACATTTCTTTATTTGCTCAACATTACTTGATTTATATTACTTTTATTTTTTCAAGTGTTATGGATTATATTGATATGTATATTGTGTGTGTGTGTGTGTGTGTGTGTGTGTGTGTGTGTGTGTGTGTGTGTGTGTGTGTGT